CACAGAGAAACCCTGTCTTAAACCACACACACACCCTTACTCGCTCCTTTCCCCAAAAAAGGCAGGGTGGGGCCTGCATAGATGGCTCAGTGGCTAAGATCACAGGCTACTTGATATGAGGGTAGGTACCTAGTCTTAGTCTAACCTCTTATGCCATGTTTGCTTGGCATCCCCAGGTGGCCTGCTCTTTTCGGAAGGGAAATGAAGGAAGAGTGGATCTGGGGGAGGGGCGACGCAGGGAGGAGAGAGGAGGGAAGGGAAACTTCAGTCAGGCTGTAATACATGAAAGAAGAATAAACAAACAAACAAACAAACAAATACCACTGGTTGCTCTTCCAGGACCCAGGTTCAATTCCCAACACCCACATGGTGGCTCACAGCCCTCTGTAACTCCAACCCCAGGGGCTCTGATGATGCCCTCTTCTGGCCTCCAAGGGTACTAGGCATGCTCATTGTACATATATATGCATATAAAACATACATATGCATAAAATAAAAATAAATCATTCTAATATATAACATATATTATATAGTATATATAACATATATTTATAGTATATAATAATATAATGTTATATTATATTTATAATATATAATATAACATATAGTATATATAACATATATTTATATATTTATAACACACACATATATATATATATGTGTATATATATATATGTGTGTGTGTGTGTGTGTGTATCTCAAGGTGACCATCAATTGAGAAGGTCGCTTACCATTGACTGTGGCCTGTACATTCATGTACACATGTGCATGTTCAAACACAAACACACACACAAACACACACACACCAAATGGCAGCTATTTCCTGCAGTTTGAGCTCCAGCTAACGGGTCAGTCACCCAGGGAGCTCACCGTTTCCATGCTCTCAGACCCCCATCTCCCTTTTATTTCCTTGGGCTCCCGTTATCTGTTCCAAACACTTCCAAATTTGCTTCCTTTCCTAATCTCTCCTCCCCTGGCAACCCCCGTGTTTATCTTGCAGTCTGTGTCTCTGCAGCTCGCGGCTCCTCCCCATGAGCCTTCATTAGAATATTTCAAATGAAGACCTTTACCGCCCCCGCCGCGGAGCACGCTGGGCTTTTCCCACACAACACGTTTTTTAATTCTTATCACGGGACTTCAGGCAGTTTGTACATTATATCCCTATTAAACCCTCAATTCCACTTGAGGTGGTCACAATTCGGAGATTACAGCATTCTGCGGGGTGTTCTGCCAGCGATACATTCACTTTGCTCTCTGTCAGACTCAGTTACGTGAGCCTGTATTTCACACCTCATTTGATTCCACAATGAAACCAACATAGAAAAAGAAGCAATTATTTATTTAGATTATGGAATCGTTTCAGAGGGATATTCAATTATGTAATGGTTTTAGAAGGATATTCATAGGTCTAAGACTGTCGTGCTGGAGGAGGGGTCCCTGCTGGGGCTGGGGGTGGGGTTAAACACTGAACACAAAGGAGACACACACAGAGAGAAGTCACTGGGAGGGGAGCCCCTCTCATTTGCAAAATGGCTTCCTCTTTCCCATGTAGCATTTTTTAAATTTCTTCTAGAGAAAAAAAAAATCACAAAAACAAAAAGCGACAACTACTTCTGAGAAGCAGAACACTTTTTTCCATGCAAAACATGACCATGGGCTGCCGATATGGCTCAATAAGCAAGAGGGCTTACTGCAAAAGCATAAGGACCTGACTTCGAACCCCTATCCCTGTAAAAAGCTGGGCGTGTAACCGGAGCACTGTGGGGCTGTGGAGACAGGAGATCATTGTGGCCTGCTGGCCGCCAGCCAGGTTAAGTAAGAGACCCTGTCTCAAGGGAATGATGGAAACGGGATGCCTCTGAGTGCACAAACATGCACATATACCACACACACAAACAATATGTTGTCATTCAGCCAATGGAGCATGTCAAGAAATTCATTTCCTCTGCATCTACCATGGAGACCGTCTTTCTAAGCCCAGCGCTCTTGGCCTCTTCCAGTCCAATGTCAGGTTGAGTGACATTGCACTTACAGGGCCATTTCCCTCCAACTCATGTCACCATCAGTGTTCATGACCTCAGAAGCCCCACGGTGTGCCCACGGACTACCTTTTCCCTTCCTTTCCCTACTCTACCCAAGCCCTTGGGAACACTGATGCAAACCCCGGCTCTGAGTTGATCTGGATGGACATAGGATCCGAGTTGTTCCAGGAAGAGCCCAGGACAACCATCCTGGAACTCACACTAGACTTAACCAGGAAAATCAACTTCTTCCTAGAGCGGTAGTTCTCAACCTGTGGGTCGTGACCCCCTTGCGGATTGACCCCTTTCACAGGGGTTGCCTAAGACCGTTGGAAAACATTCCGAGGTATTTACATTCTGATTCATAACCGTAGCAAAATGACAGTTATGAAGTAGCAGTGAGAATAATTTTAAGACTGGAGGTCACCACAACATGGGGAACTGTATGAAAGGGTCACACCATTAGGGAGGTTGAGAACCACTCTCCTAAAGTGACTGTGTGGTCAGAGGGATACTAGGAGTTCCTGGCCGCTATACTGCTCCCAAGAGGGAGGACTCTGGAGGGGGGGTGGAGAGAAAGGTTGGGGGAGAAACTCAGAGTGCCAGACACCCCCACTTCTGATGTAGACCTCTGTCAGCATGGACCCTATAGGCAGCCACAGGACAAGGTCACCTGGATAACTACACAAGGAAATACGCTCTCCCTGTGGGTATAAACTCAGCAGACCTCTATGCTAAACAGAATCAAGCTACAGGCCTGGGCAGAGCCTATCTTTGAAGATCATGGCCACTCGTGCCCGCTGACTACCCTCTCACTCCCCTCATGCCCCTGGCAGCAAAGCCTGCCTTCTACACAGCCAGAAAGCAACCCAGGAAATTCACTTCCCGAGCCAGCCTGCTCCTACCCAGGGATTCCACTGTCTGTTACCTAGATCTAAACCAAAACTCTGCTTGAGGGAGCTGGGGTGGCGTCAGGAAGAGACACTCTGCTTCTTTCCAGTAATTAGATATTGCTGGATGGGTCTGTGGTACATGGATAAGCTGCAGCCATTAGTAGCCATGAGGACACAAGATTGGAAGATACCGGAGAAGCCACACAGAATCCTGCTGTGTGAACCAACTATGGAAACAGACACCTCTGCCTTTGCTATGTAAGGTCACGAATCCCTTTACAGCAACCACTTTGGAGCAATTGGAACCTTTGCAATGGGAAGCCTTTGAGCCAATACTGACAAACTCAGGACCCAGGGCACCTGGCAGGCACATTCAGACATCCAGGGAAGCCCTGGTCATGTGATGTCACAGCCCACACTCCATCCCTGACATGGTCTACCCTAGAGTGTGATTGATGAGTCCTGAGTGGGAGGTGTCATTGCCAGCATCACACCACTCAGCCTGAGTCACTCTTCCTCCTGGAAGACATTCACAGGAAGCCCAGTGCAGCTCTGGGGTTGGCTGGGGTCACATGAGAAGTGACAGCACACACCAGGCAAGTCCATTGACAAAGCTCAGCCTCCGCCCTCACATGACCCCACTCATGACCCACACTGACTCATCCCCAAGGCCCATGTGTCTCCTGAGCACCAAAGACCCCAAGCTAGAGAAGAGACAAAAGAGTCTAGGATGATTTACAGGGATGTGTGTCTCAGCAACCAGGGCATTGATTGGCCTTCACCCTGGGTGGCATCTGAGCCCATGGCAGGGTCAGCAGCCATTCATCCAGGACTGCTCCTTGGCCCAAGGTGGGGAGACAGACAGGCAGACAAGCAGGCAGACAGACAGACAGACAGATGCTCGGAATGGGAAGAGAATAGCGGTGACAAGGGATAGGGCTGTTGAGCCAGGAATCTTTCCACCCTCTGCTGCTGAAGTCATCATGCCCCTCCTCACCCCTCCCTCACCCCTTCCTTACCTCTCCCTCTCCCATCCTCACCCCTCCCTCACCCCTTCCTTACCTCTCCCTCACCCCTCCTTCACCCATCCTCACCCCTCACTCACTCACCCACCACTCTCCCACCCCCAGGCCAGATTCTGAGGATTGCAAGGAAACTGGACTTGATATTCTGGATCCACAGCTACCCACCCCCGGCCCCCCACTTCTACTCCCACCCCCAAGGATTGGGTTCTACACAACAGAAAAGGCTCATTTCAGCAGCCAGGGGCCAGAGACAGCTCAGCAGATAAAGGTGCGTGCCTCTTGCATCTAAGGACTTAAGTTGAATCCCCGGGCCCATAGGAGATGAGGAACCAACCCCTGAAAGCTGTCCTCTGACCTCCACATACCCCATGACACGCAGACAGACCGACAGACGCGCACACGAATAATAGCAGTAATAATAAATAATAGTAATGATTTTAAATTTTTGAAGAAAAATAAACAGTGACAGACAATCAGCTGATAGCTGTGAGCACCCTTCTTGCATTTTTTCCCCTTTCCTTCTCCCTCTCCCTCCAGCCCCACTCACTCACTCCGGCCCAAAGGCTTTCATTTATTTATTATATGTAAGTACACTGTAACTGTCTTCAGATACCCCATAAGAGGGCATCACATGGTTGTGAGCCACCATGTGGTTGCTGGGATTTGAACTCATGACCTCCAGAAGAGTAGTCAGTGTTCTTAACCACTGAGTCATCTCACCAGCCCCCACCCTCCGCCCTCCCCACCCCCACTGCTTGCTCTTTAAAAGGTAATTTCCTCTGGCTTTCTAACTGATCCATTCTCACCATCTCAGCCTTCGGTTCTTCGTGGAAACAACAGTAATAACAATATGGTTGTCAGACTCTAAACTGTGATAAATGAAAGTCAGCCGGCGGCCTCGCTATGTACTGTGCGTGGAATCATAAAGGACAGATGCTCCGGGCTGCCATGCATCCCTGCTGTGGCTGCACTAGGCTGTGCCGCTCAAGGAAGGTCCACCCGCCATCCTGAGCATGTTTCTCTGTTTCTTGCTCTAGTAAACCACACATCACAGGGCTCACCTGCTCTGGGTGTCCGGGTGGTGGCCCATGCAGGACAGGGCAGCCGTGGTCTGGGTACCGTCCTGTTCAATTTCCTCCTGCACTGCCCACTGGTCCTCATGGCTCACCCTCACGGCTGTTATCTTCACTCCCGCAGCTGCCTTGATTCTGTGACATAAGAAGAAAGCAGATGCGTGAGAAAATAGGCTTCACCTGACCAGGACCATGGAAGACACTGTGGTGGTCTGAATAGACTCCCCACTCCTCCCATAGACTCATGTGTTTGAATGCTTGGCCCATAGGGAGTGGCACTATTAGGAGGTGTGGCCTTGTTGGAGGAAGTGTGTCACTGTAGGGGTGGGCTTTGAGGTCTCCTATGCTCTGGCTTCACTCAATGTGGAATGAGATCCTCCTCCTGGCTACCTTTGCATCAAGATACAGAATTCTTGGCTCCTCCCCCACCACCACATCTGCGTAGATAAGGCCATGCTTCAGGTCATGATACTGGACTGAACCTCTTAAACTGTACACCAGCCCCAATTAAATATTGTTCTTTATAAGAGTTGCCTTGGTCATGGTGTCTCTTCACAGCAATGAAACCCTAACTAAGACAGACTGCATCTGTATCACATGGAGATCCCCTTCCCTGGAGGCTAGAGGGAAGGGAGGCTGTGAATAGCCTTTCTCTAAGACTAATCTTAGGGACAGTGAGATGGCTCAGTGGTTGAGGCACTTGCTGCCAAGCCTGATGCTCTGAGTTCAGCATCCAGAACCCACATGGCAGAAGGAGAGAACCAGCTCCCTCAAGGTGTCCCTGACCTCTGCACACCACTGTAACCCAGGTGCCCACTCCACACATACAAAATAAAGAAATAAATGTAAGGAAAAAAATGTATTGCTGATATGATATGTTCCAAACCAAGGGAAACCCTGAACTGGGGAAACTGAGGCAGGAGAATCGCTACAAGTTCAAGACCAACCTGGGCTACATGGTGAGACCCTGTCTCAAGAATAAATAAGCAAATTAATGAATCTTGTGCCTTTTACAAGCACCATAGAGTGTTGTCACAGACCTCCATTTTTTCCGTCACTGGGCTTAAAATGAATGATTTTATGCAAATTTTATCTTAACATTAATAAGAGTGGCAAGGGGACAGCAAGATGGATCAGTTGGTAAAGGTGCTTACCATCAAACCTGAAGACCCAAGTTCAACCCCTGGGACCCACATGGTGGAGGGAGAGAACAGATTCATACAATGTATCCTCTGGTCTCCATATGTGCACCACAGTACACACACCCAACATATAGCCACTAAATATATGAATAAAAGTTATATAAGGAGGGAGGACAAAGGTAAGTGACCCATCCCAGGAGAGAGTGAAATGTGAGAGAGAGGGAGTGGTATATGTGTTAATGGGTGATGTCTAGGCGCCAGACCCATCCTGAAGCCTAGCTCTGTCCCCTGCCTTAGGGAGTCTGGAACAGACTCAGAGATGCTGACCCCTGAGTGTCTATCAGATACAAAGACAGGACCCTGCTTCCCTCTCCCTCCTATGACCACCACAGCCCTAGCCTGGACAGCACACCCCAGAGGCTCCAATGTCACTCATCTGTCACCCCTTCTCCTGACTCTGATCAATCATTCTTCCTGCTGGATTTGGGTCTTAATCTCCTCCTCCACAAAGCTTTCTTTCTTGACGCTATGACACCCTAGCAGTTAATTTATTCATGCCACAAACAGAGGTGTCCTATTCCATCCCTGCCTCTAAGCAAAGGACTGAAGGAAGAGGATGTCCCAGAACCTCTGTCTACATTCAAAGTCCTTGTCACCAAAGCTGCATTCTCTGGCCTGTGGGTCCTCTAACAACTCACACAGGGATCTTTCCCACACGTACAATGGCTCAGACCCCTTCATCCTACCACTGATGGTCAGAGCGGAAGTGGGAATCAGCTGGTCAGAGGGAAGTGGGAATCAGTGGCTGGTTAGCCCACAGAGACCCCTCCCTGTGAGACCTGAGCTACATCACTGAGCCTGTAAGTCTCAGTTTCTCCTGGATGAAAGTCCTTCATCCACTGTGGTCTTAAAGGGATTATGGATGCTCACAGGACAGTGGCTAAAAGACCACCACTAATGGCTGAATTCAAACACAGAAGTACTAAGTACTCTCGGAAGACCTGGCTGGGCTCCCTACTGCCAGGCATCTCGAGTGCAACTCTGAGTCTCTAGGCAGAATCTAGCCATTCCTTCTAGATATTTCCTGGTCCTAATTCTGGGCAGAAAAAAATTTCCCAACTCTCCAATGATACACACACACACACACACACACTCACAGACATACACACACACTCACATACATACAATTCTGGCACATGTCACCAATACCCCAACTCCTTCAGACACCTGACTCTCTCTCTCATACATGATGCTCTGTCCCACAGTGAGCTCTCTTCTCATGGCCACAGGGTGATTGCAACAACTCCAGACTGCACATCTTTATCCTCAGTTTAGAGAGACAGAGACAGAGAGAGAAAGAGAGAGAGAGAGAGAGAGAGAGAGAGAGAGAGAGAGAACAAAGCTCTTAAAGCCAGTTTTTACAGGCTGAATTTGATGGGTTTTTTTTTTCCGTAGTGGATGAGGTTAATCCCATATCAGAAGAGTTTAAAAAGAAAAGGATGCCGAAAAGAAATTCAAGTCATAGAGGAAGAAATGCATGCTGGGTATTAAAAACACTTGTAAAGCCAAATTGTTGATATGCCGCCCGTCTCTTAAGCACAAGTTATGAAATTTTTCTTCAAGCTCAGTATCCCAACTAAATCCCCCTTAACTTCAGGCTATATTTGTTAAAACGATTTAAGCTCACAGAAATTCAGGTCTTAAATATTCACTAACCTTGTTTTAGAAAAAAATTATGTATCTTCAGACTTGGGGATATTCTTAGCACTTGGTATTTTAAAACTACAATATCCAAAGCTACGTGGAAGAGATTAGTGGCCCCGCTGCTGCGGTGAGCCGGAGGTTTTCAAGGCTAAGCAATAAAAGTTACCACCACCGCAATGTGTCCAAAACATGTAAGAAAAGTTAACTGAGTGACTCGGTAACAGGTTAGCACATAGGAGTTTTTCGGGAAATAAAGCTGTCGAAGTGCAAGGTTTGGGGGCTGGGGAGAGGGCTCAGTTTATAAAGAGCTTGCTGTTATTGCAAAGGACCACAGTTGAGTTCCCAGCACACAGGCCAGGAGGCTCACTACCACCTGTAACCCCAGCTACAGGGGGAAATCTGATGCCCTCTTCTGGCCTCTGCAGGTAACTGCATGGACACGCATATAAAGACAGTTCCCTGAATTCAGGTATCCGGAGGCTGGAGGAGGCAGGCCATGCTGCGAGCACATTTTTGAACAACTATTTAAATCTGAAAGATGGCAGAGAAAAAAATCCAGGTGAGGAGACCTTTGAGTATCTGCCACATAAGACCTGTCGCGGCACTCACAGAGCAGACGGGGTCTCCCTTCTGCACTCTCCGGAGTGGATGCTGAAAATACATTTATTTTTAGTGTTTGGGTCAGAGAGAAAATGGGAAGCTCTAAAGATACAAGAAGATCTCTGAGAAGCATGGGGCTCTGCCCCAAGATCAGGGATGGACAGGGTCTTCTGTGTGCAGGTGTGAGCCATCCTCTTAGCAGCACATGGGGAGGCCAAACAAGTCAGATGCCACCGCAGGAAATTATCAATATGTCTGATGTCCTGTCTCAGCTAAAACTTAGTTACTTAGCTTAATTTATTTATTTGATACAGGGTCTCACTATGTAGCAGCCCTGGCTGGCCTGGAACTCTCTCTGTAGACCAGGCTGGCCTGGAACTCCTGGAGATCCACCTGCCTCTGCCTCCTGAGTTCCAGGACTAAAAAGCATGTGTCACCACACTTGAGTATATATAGAAAATGGTAGGGCCAAGTGAGACTCCTGTCTGCTTTGTGATACAAGCTGTGTGTTTGTGACTTTTCTCATTACTTACAAAACATCTCGTAAGAGCGATTTACAGAAAGTGGGGCTTATTTGGATTCACAGTTTAAAAGCACAGCCCATCATTGGTGAGGAGGCACGGCGGCAGGCATGTGAGCCAGCTGGTCACACGGCATCCTCAGTCAGGAAGCAGAGAGAGATGGATGCTGGTTCTCAACTTACTGTCTCCTTTGTATTCAGTCCAGAACTCCAGCCTGTGGGATGACACCACCTATGTTAAAGGCAGGTTTTCCCACCTCAATTAACCCAATCTGAAAACTTCCTCATAGGCATGCCCAGATCCCTGTTTCCTAGATGGTAATGAATAATGTAAACTTACCCCTACCAGCCATCATACTGAGCATGCCCAAAGGATGTTACCTTCCCTGACTCTTCTTCCGACTGTGTTCTGTGATCCTGGGCTAAGCATGCTGGAAAGCATACCTGTCCTTCCTTCCTGAATCCTGACCTTAAACTGAGTGTGCTTAGGAATGTGCTCCCCACCACCAACCAGAGGGTGCTCCCACTTGAAAACATCATGGACAGTCTCCCCAATAAAAATCTCCACACTTCCTTTGCTTGGAAGAGCATTACTCTGGAAATAGCACCAATGCCTCCTATAGCATAATCTTGCCGCCTAGCCTTCATTTCTTGGCCACACATGTGTGAGCTTTGGGCTAAGCTGGGCACCCGCTGCCTTCCCTTGTCTGTCTTTGCATCCGCCCTAGAAAGTTAGCTGGGATGCACACATCTCAAGACACACACTCATACAGAGAGCAGACATCAGGTGTCTTCTTCTGTTATTGGCTACCTTATTCCTTTAAGATGTTATCTCTCTATTGGTCTGGAAAGAAATCCCAGTGGTTAGGGCACTGGCTGTTCTTTCCAGGAGAGTCAGGTTCAATTCACAGCACCCACACAGTGGCACACAATAGTCTGTAACTCTCCTGGAGATCCAAAGCTGCCTCCTGCCTGCCTCCTCAGGCACCAGGCCTGCAAGTGGTAAACAAACATACATGCAGGGGAAAAAAAAACTACTTATGCATACAAAATAAACAAAAACTTACAAAATCAAGATGGGATCTCTCACTGAACTTGAAGTACTTCTTGAGGCTGCTAGACTGGTTGGCCAATAATCTCCCAGCATCCCCCTGTCTCCACCCCTCACA